ATCCAACTTTTCTACTTCTGCGTTAAAGTCTCTGTGTGAGCCGAAAATAAATTAGCCTTCATTTTTTTGATATTCAATAGTACCTATTAGGATGTCGAAATAGCTGTATCCCAGTTTTTGCCCGATGCAACTTTTCTAGTCTTGCGTTAAAGTCTCCAAGCCAGCAAAAAATTGATTCTCCTTCATTTTGTGGATTTGCAATTTTACGCACTCGGAAGTCATAATAGTTGTATCATGCATTTCGCCCCATCCAACTTTTCTACTCCTGCGTTGAAATTATTGAGTCAGCGCGAAAGAGACCAAGCTCTTTTCCGTAGTGTTGCAGAAATGCAAGAAAGTTTTCTCGCCTTATAATTGTGACCGAATTCGTGAAAAGGGACCTCCTCCTCTAGTAGAAAATTTTCCGAAACTTTGAACTTTGTGCAAAAAACGGTCACGAGAAGCATCTATAAAACTGTAGGTATACTTAAAGCTCGGGGTGGGACCCGATTTTAAGTCTTGTTCTCGGCTCTCGACTCGTGAATCGCACTAAGTTCCGAGATGCGTCCGCTATTCGGGAACAGAGGTGGATCCAGCAATTCGACAACACCAAATTTCCTCCATTTAAACCTATGTCAAACAATCGCTTCTTGTCCGAGTACCTAGCTCCTTCAAAAATCGATACATTTCTATGGGTTTAAATGGAGAAAAACAATGTTGCCAATTTGCTGGATGACGAGCGCATTTTGATCAAAACGCAATACCTTTAATATCATTCATTATTCAAGAAAATGTTGAAAAATTGACTGCTTTTTGACGTTTCCCCGCCGCAAATTTTCATAGAAAATTTAGCGGCTTTTATGACTTTATCAAATAATTCTCTCCTTTTCATCTCACTTTAAGATGCGTGACAAGGACATTTGGACCGAGTTCATCAGGAAGGAACCAACGCAAATTAAGTTGAAAGTGAGAAAAATAGATTTGATGTTTTATTCCTGCATGAAGCTCAACGCAGAAAATGAACTTTAACTCATCTTCTCATAAACTAATTTCTTTTGCTCGACTTTCAGATTTTGCTAGGAGGAAATAAACGACTAGGGGAACTTAAAAACATTCTAAACTTTATTTTTCGAAAATGTGGGTTGGTTCATTTCCGATAAACTCGGTCCATTTAGGGTTGTATTTGGGGATGGAGGGAGGTACTATTTCAAATTCTAAGAGGGGTCAGACCACCCTGGCTTCTTATCAGCCACGCCCATGGCGGAACCTTGTCCAATTAAAAGTTGGATGAAGCAATTAGTGGATGGAACCGCGGCGCGGCGCTGAAGCGGCAAAAAAGAATTCAGCTCATAAAGGAATCAGCTGTTAAGCACGGATGGTCCGGGCCAATCTTGGATGGTCGCCATAAGCAGTGCAGCGACACTCACGCTGCCTTGCTTAGGAAGAACACCGTATAAACATTCGTGAGTTGCCAAATTTTCTCCGATAAAATGTTTATTTTTGATGAAAGTTATGAATATTTTTCCTTTACAATTTCAGAATCTTTAGGTAAAATTGCGAACTAAATTATCTGAAAAATTGAGAGGAAAATATTCATAAATTTACCAGGAAATTCGCGTTTTATCAACGGAAATTTGGCAACGCCTAAAGGTTTATACGGCGTTTTTCCTTAGCACGGCAGCACAGACCGGCGCGGCGTTCCTTTTTTGTTACATCAGCTCACCGTTTTGCCGACCTCTTACATTAGCCATTACCCCGTTTGAATTTATCCGAGAGCCCGCTCCATTTCTCTCCACCGCTCTATTTCTTCTTCGCCAGCTTTGACCTATAATTGAATTATCATAATCCATTCACTTTTTTTTACAACGCCCTTTTATCATTATTTCGTGACCTTCGGAGAGCCAATTGCAGTCAATAATGATCCCATGCGCTAAATACAAAGATTGCCCGCACGTTTCTGCCGTCGCGAGCCGATCGTGCCCAAATGCGATCGCATTCTCAGCCGCGTTATGGAAAAACGTCGTATGAACACCTCGATCTTGCCAAATCTTTCTCTCTGAAACTTCTATGCTAAAGGAAACTTGTAGATATTTTCCTTTGAAATTTTCACATACTCTAGATTAAAGTTCGAAAGAAATTCTTCAAGAATTTGGAAGAAAAATATGCACAAGTTTTCGTGAAAGTTTAATTTTATCGAAGAAAATTTGGCAACAGATCAGATCTAGCGAGTCCCCTCCCAAACCGAATCAAGAGCCGCCTCGTGAAAGAGGGGCTTTTTCGGATCAAATCACCTGCTGTTCACTGCCCGATTAAAAAAATCGTAAAATCAAACTATTTTTTTTGTTTTTTTTTGAAGGAATTTTATTTAAATATAACGTGACTACCACAAGTATTTCCTTGTATCTATCTACATGGTTTAAAACTTAAACTAAACGAATTGCATTAAATTTACGGGGTAACGTTAGATCGTTAGATAATACGATGATTTAAACTAATCCTTCAAATGAAATTAAATGCCGTCTGATCATGATGAACAGTCCTTTTAAATAGAAAAAACCAGTTTGATAGATCGAATAAATCTCTCATTTTAACACTACGGATGAGGTACTACAACATACGTATTCTCATCAAAAATTTACGTAAAATGCGGTGAGTACTTCACATACTTTCAAATTCAACACGTCAGTAAGAAAACAGCGATTTTCGCGGTTTTCATGCAGAAGTTCCCGCTCACGGTAAAAAAATAAATAGAAAACTAAAAAAAACTGACTGACTGTTTAAAAAAAGAAAAGAAAAATGAGACTTTGGAAATAAACGAATTTAAAAGTAACAAAATATAAAGCCTTGTGACGTCATGTGGTCGCATTTCCCTGTTAAATACATGGATCTTAATTATAAAAAAATACTTAGATCATTCTGTCATAACTCTGCCAATGATCGTTCAATTAGAGACAGAGGATGTTCTTGTGTTCGCTCCTCATAGTGATTTCTATTTATAAATGGTATTAATGGAATCTCAGACAATTGCAAATTCTCAACTGTTGCATTGCTAGGAAACGATCGATAGAGAGCTAAGTTACCGCAGCCTTGCAGAAAAATTAGAAAAAAAACGGACTAGGCTTTGATTTTTTCTCAAAGCTGGAAACGGAGGCCAACGGAACGGTTGCGACACGGACGTAGTGTGAATGTAAAACGAAGAAATTAACAATTAAAGACAAAGACTTCCACTAAAAAAAATAGTCGAGTCGAAGTGAAAATAGCGGGCGGGCAAACGCGATCATTACCCTGCTCGAATACTGTCAAGGATGCATCCTTGCCGCACTAATCAACTCGCAGTCGTCTAACTCATCATTGTTATTCATTTGTGAGAGCCACCTCGCCTATTCCGATTGAAGCGCATCCTCTGGAAATAATTAACCATCAAATTCTGGCCAGGGAAGGGGGGGGAGCAAGTATGAATACTACATGTGAAGACGATTTTCCGTCAGAAACGTTGAAGGATACCTACCATAGAATAAATTGACTACGTCTATTTATTCTATGTGACTTAAATAAATATACGTAGTTTATAAATAAATAAAGTACATCTATTTATTCTAAGTACCTACTTTCCGCCGTAAAATCATCTAATTTGCAGGACCGTGGTGTCCTAAAATTTTAAACAATGTTTACTCACGTGCATTAAATAAAATAAAGTTTAAACCTCAGATGCCCAAGCCTTGCTAGAAACGTGTACTCCGCGGGTTGTATGGGACGGGTACAGATGAAAACTAGACATTGGCCTACAAACACATATCAAATAAAGAATCTTGCATCAAAGTGGAAAAAAAAAAATTAAGTGTCAGAGATTTTTTTTTTTAATATCCCGAAACTCCTAGAAATCCCGAGCCGCGTCTAATTGACCCACCTATCTTTTCTGGGGGAATTATGGGGCCGGTGTAAACAAACTTTAGACATAGGTCAACTAATACTTTTAAAAAAAGAATTAGACGTCGAATAAAAAGCTTCAGACCCACGCCAACTAATACTCTTAAAAAAAATAATTAAACGTCAAATGAAAAAAAGCAAAATCGAGTGTCATCACCGCCGAAGATAGGAGAGACGTGTCTGGGCCTCGTTTTTCAACTTCTCAATCTGATTGTGAGCCACATTTCATTGGCAGCATAAAGCGGATCATTGTGAGTAAACGCCTCGCGCCATAGCGCCTTCAATTTTGCAGATGCGACCGCGACATCCATCAAGCACGAATAGTTGCATCTCCGCGCCGTCATCAACGCGCATCCTTTCCCTTGCTCTATTTGTTCCATATTCGGTTTGTTTTGTTTTGGCATTCTTCGAATTGGAATCTTCTGGAAATTTTGAAACATCGTAATGGAGGTACGTGGTTTATACGTACCATGGCCATCGACTTTTAAAAATTCCAAAGGCAGCTCAAGAGTGAAAAATTATAAAAGTACTCTAGAGCCAAAAGGTATGTGACTCACATTTTTGAAAGATCGAGCTAGTGTCGTTTTAGAAATCTCCAGGAACGGTTCCATGGGTATGAACAATTTGGTAACCCTATCTTATACCGGTTATGAGGTACATAATTTCAATAATTGCGATTTACATTGAGGTCAGTGGGGCCGACACTAGGTTTTTCTTTGATATTTTGGAATGACTAAAATGAAGTCAGGTGCCTTTTAACTTTAGGTACATTAGGACCGCGTTTAGGTGAAAGGAACCAAGCCTCTTCAGCTATTGCGAAATTTAAAAGGGCAATTTAATTTTTTACGAGATAACGTTAGGGCGGATTCTTTTGAGATTTTGAGGAATTTGCTTCGCACTATGCGAAATATTCACTAGTAGCACAAATAAAAGTCCGCACAACCGTTTTCATGTAAAAAATTAAATTGCCTAGTCAAAGGCAATAGCTGATGTTGTTTGGTTCCTCTCTGCTTGATGCGGTCCATTACAATGTTTTCATTCAAACGTTTTTCTCTGAACAAATAACTGAACATTATTTGATTTTTATGTTTCAGTGTGAACGGAGGAACGCAGGATGGGCAGCGATGGCCCAACCCTCTACACGAACAACAACAGGACGCCGGTCACCGGTGACGCCAACTCAATCGCCACTATCCTCTTCTTCAGCACCCTTTTCCTCGCTTTTCTCATCATCTTCCCGGGAGTTCGGAAAGAGGTCTGTATTTCTATTTATGTCCTTTACTTTTTCTAATCTAAGTCTGATAGTTGGACCGCGTTCAGCAGAAAAGAACCAAGCCACATCAGCGATTGCCAATTTAAGTAGGCAATTTAATTTTTTATAATAGAGCGTTTGTGCGAATTCCTTTGAAAATTTTGAGTAATTTGCTTAGCACTAAGCGGAAAATTTGCTATTTGCACGAAATTCCGCACAACTGTTTTCATGTTAAAAATTGAATGGCCCAATTAAATTTGGTAAAAGCTGATGTGGGTTGGTTTCTTTTTGCTTAACGCGGTCCAGTTATAGGTGAAATAAACCTATCTGCGCATCATTGGAGTACCCAAATGAGGAGAGTACGGGCATGTCGAAATATGGAGCCCTTAGGGTCCAAAAGGGCAGCCAACCCTCTAACGCAAAAAAACTAGAAAAATTCCGATTTAAATCAGAAGGTACTGTAAGCATCGTGGCATTAGCCAAGTTGTAAATTCACTTTTAGGGAACTCAAGGCTCATGTCAAAGTGACTATAGTTCCATCTGATTTAAATAAGTCCATTTGGTCGGTAGGACGGGTTGTTTCAACCAAAAGTTTGATCAATCGACTGAAAAAAAATCAATTCAAACTAACCGAAAACACGAAATTTCCGAACTGTGTAGTGTCTTTTGCATGTATCAATTTTCACAAGGTTCTTTTTGGCTTAAATTCGCTCAAGTTTGCCGCGCTAAGGAAAAACGCCGTACGACATTCGAGGGTTGCCAAATTTACTCCGATAAAATGATTATTTTTAACGAGAGCTTTTATTTTCTCTTAAAATTTTTAGATATTTTAGACCCGATCGCGAGTAAAATTCTCTTAACAATTAGACGAAAAATATTCGCGAATTTCCCGGAAAATTCGTATTCTATCAAAGGGACTTTAGCAGTGCAAAAAGACTCACATGGCGTTCTTCCTTAGCACGGTAGAATTAACATCGTTTTGACGTATTTGCCTCCGAGAGTTGCGGCCAGATTTATAAACGAAGAACTTTAAAGGCAGCTATGCACTTTGTTCCATCATCACCGAGACAAATCGTTCCAGTATTAGGACAAGCGTGGCCCAGGAGTTAATTATTTTTAACAGAATCCGCGCGATTTTTTGGCACTTTCACATCCGTTTGATTTTAACGTGGGATTGAATGTTGGTGTGCCAATGTGACATGTTGCCAAACGGTGCCAGATGTGCACTGTGTGCAGTTGTTTTAAGTATTTGGGATCGACCCTTTTCAAAACTTATAATCATTAAGGTTCAGAAATGCCGGTAGAAATACCGTATGTAGCCAAAAAATCCACGAGTCCATATCTATTTCTCTGTATCTCGTGCGTGCAAAGGACCTATTTTCTGGCACTATCATATTATTTTCCACTTCTATTCTTTAATTAAGGAGCTATTCTGCCGTGGTAAGGAAGAACGCCGTATGGTTCCTTAGACGTGGCTTCGATAAAAACAGAATTTACTGGGAAAATTGTAAATATTTTCCCCCAAAATATTCAGACAATTTTGCACGCAATTTAATCCCAAATATCGTCAAGGAAAAATGGCCCTAATTTGCGTCAAAAATATGGTTTTTATCAAGGTAAATTTGGCAACTCTCGAATGTTTACGGCGTTCCTCCTCAGCACAGCAGTATTTCGTCCAGTCCGACAACATTCAGAATGAGGGTTAACGCTTCAATTAACTCATTATTTGGCCAGTGGTCACGTCAATAAATTGATACATAAGTGCAGTGGAATGTTAGAATTTTAATTTTATCGACTCTCCAAGTATGTACAGACCACTTTCCAGCGATAAATTTACCGTGTTGGTGTTGAATTACAAAAGACGCGTCTTAAGTGGAGTTTTTTATTTCACTTTTTCGTTAATAGCGCGATCGGCAGCACGCGGCAGCCATTCAGCATGCCACAACGAATGATTTATCTGATTTTTATTTTCATTTTTTATACGGCTCGATTTTTGTTTGAGTGTCTTGCAGACTTTGCATAGCCACAAAGCGGATGAAAATTATGTTTTGCGCGTCTCCGTAAAGTATGACCTTGCAATTAGTACTATTGGCCATTTGTTTTTGATTGAGTAGCACGTTCGGAATGTTATCGGAGGGAGAAGCAATGATCAAATTTTCGGAGTTTAATGTTCTTTAAATTCATCTAAATTTTGATTTTTGTTGGTTTTTTGTATAGTTTGTAATGAGTAATAATTCTGGGATATTTTTGCTTGTTTTTGCTTTCAGAGATTCACCACATTTATCACCGTCACACTTAGTTTGTTCGTGGGAAACGTCATAATGAGTGAGTATTTTATTTTATATCGAAATAGACGTAAAATGTGTATCAACGTGACGTCAGTTGCACTGTTGTATCGAACCAATGTTACATTCTTGTATCTTGTTTGGGGGCTGATTTTCGAAATTCTGTTGAAAAATTTGTTTTATACGTGACATTTTAAGGTAAAAAAACACGAAATTTGGACCACATTTTGAAATTAGGAACTAAAATTTCTACTTCAGTTTAAAAACAACGTGTGTACCATTAGTTTTCCTATGCACATACGTATTTTTACGGATGAGCCAGAAATTTTTGCTCCAAATTGCAGAATGAAGTCCATTTAATACTCATCAATTGGATATATCTATGCTAAAAGAACTGTGTAAAGGCCACAGAGCACACATATCCTGTGTATAGTTTCTTTTGGTTCAATTCACCCGCAAGAAAGTCTTTTTAGCATGAATCGGTACGTCCTTTATATTCAATGTCTTCCGGTCCACTTGCTTGAACAGCGCTGGCTTTATTGTTCAGACAATGCGTGAAAAAACTAGAATTTCGAGACCCGCTAAAAACTAAACGTGCTTCATCCTACGCACTCGTTATCAAGAGAATTAAACGTCGGACAAATAACGATGCGTTAATCAGCCGATTACATAATGGCTAAAGAAACGTTAGTCAGGGTCAGTTTTTCCTTATAGCCTGATCTTGGCAACTTCGTTGATGAATTAAGTAATTTTCATGAAAAAAAGAAAGAGGGAATGACTTGCGAACCAAATGTGGCATCGATCGAGGAATGGAACGTGAAATGTGACAGGTGATTTGCAACGTCGCGTATAGAGATACGTGGTTTGGTAATTGCACATTCAACGTCAAATTTTTCTCCGTTTCCCTCGGTTATGCAGCATTGCAGCAGACGGATACGCGATAATAAGTGCCAATCCGCGCCACGGCGTCTTGATGCAACTATTCGTGCTTCATGAATGTGCGTGTTGCATGCAGACAAATTGAAGGCGCTCTGGCTTTGCTTGCCCGGACCGAAATGTGCGCAATGAGCATCGTGCGCTCCCGCTGCGGTGCTGCGCGGCCCCTTATCAGGCCTGCCCAAACGCATCAAATATTGATATGCCTCCTGCAAAAGGGCAATGTATTCGCAGATATATGAATTACGAAGTGTAAATAGTTTTCCTTAAAATTTTGAAGAGAACTAAATTAAAATGCGGAGGATATTTTACAAAGAAACCAAGGAAAATTCACCAAGAATCTAAAAAAAAATACACCAAGAATTCAAGAAAAATACACCAAGAATTTCAAGAAAAATACACCAAGAATTTCAAGTAAAATATACCAGGAATTTCAAGAAAAATATACCAAGAATTTCAAGAAAAATACACCTAGAATTTCAAGAAAAATACACCAAGAATTTTTAGAAAAATACATCAAGAATCTCAAGAAAAATCTAATTGTATTTAGAAAAATTGGCCAACTCCAGACTGTTTATACGGCGTTTGTCCTCAGTCTGACAGTGCGACACGTAAATATTCGAAGCTTGTCATGACATAAAAGAAGCCTGCATTTGAGACAATTTATTCAGACTTGGTTGAAGACCCTGCGAGATGGTCTGGAGAATAGGCGTGGGAGGCAACTGGAAAAAGAAACAACTTTGCGTTAACCGTGGGGCAGCAGGGTGTGAGGGGGGGGGGTGAACGATCACCTTGAAGAGGATGCTTATCGTATCGAGAAGATGATTTATTTTCGTGTCATTCGTGTTTTCGTGATTGGGTTGAGTCGATCACGTTTTCTCGAGTCAAGGAATCACTCCTTGGCTGGGTAAACAATGAAATCTTCATCCTCGCTACACCAGTGAAAATCTTCGTTTCCATACCAACACCATGCAGTCGAAGAGGCTTAAGTCTCAATACCTGCCTCTTGCGAGCAGATTGTTGCAATTGATAGACAACGCAATGGACAATAAGGAAGACGAAAAGAAAGAAAATGGTAGAGGCAGAAATTATAGGGTTCCTCATGTGGGTGTGTTGCCGTTTGTTAGTCTATCACCTCCCTCCTTTGTCTATTGCAACCACCCGCTTGCTTCCACCAATAGGATCCCTCCGTATACCTTTTGCCTTCCTTGTCCATAGCTTTGTCTATCAATTTCAATAAAGGGGCCTGCAGAGTACCTTGAAAGGGAGAGTGTGGTTCTTGAAGGATCCATCTCAGCTGCACGTAGAGATTTTTGGTACACCATTCAGAATTATTGAGAAATATTTATAGGAATTCTGCACCAAACGGGAGTCACTTGCTATCACTGTTTTTAAATAGCGGCCAGTCAAAGTTTTGCAAATTCTAACTTAACTAAGCCACTATTTTGAATTGGTGATAGCTAAGAATATAATTTCTTCATTCTCTTTCAAATGCTGTATCACTCAAAGGTGTTTTAAAGAAAAACTTCATTTGGATTTAAATAGGTGTCAATTTTATGGGGATCAACAATGTGTGATACCCTATTAAGTGGTACATCATGTAGAAAGAGAGTTAAGAGAGGAAATGTTTACCGCAAATCGGAGGTTCCTATCTCTATCATTGATTCAAAACGGTGGCTCGATTAAGTTGGAATTTGCAATACTTTGACCGGTCAAATTAAGTCAAAATTCTTCAGTTTCTGTGCTCTTTTTGACCGTGTATCATAAAAGGCTGGTTGCCCCTTGAAATTTTGAGTCAGGTTCCACTAGGCGCCCGAGGGCGCCGCCTCAAAATTTCCAAAATGCCAAAAAGGTCATATATATATATATATATATGTGTGTGTGTGTGTGTGTGTGTGTGTGTGTGAGGGTGTGAGGGTGTGTGTGTGTGTGTGTCGCTTTTATAGCGCTCTTTGGCGCTGTGCGACGCCTAATCGCCACAAAGCTCGGTCTTCCCACAGGTCATCAGGGAGTTGACAATCTCTTATCTCATTTAACACCCCCTGTCGCCAACCTCTCACTGGGCGTCCCCTACGTCTCCTCCCAGGAGGAACCCAATCAAGCATCTTTCTTGGCAGCCTCTCTTCCGTCATCCTATTGACATGACCATACCAAACAAGTTGTTTGGTCATGACGTCGAACACGATGTCATTTTCGACTTCCATTATCTGACGCACTCTATCATTACGGACCCGATCTCTCCTAGAAATTCCAGCTGACCTTCTCCAGAAATCCATCTCCGTTGCTCTTAGCATATCCTGTGTCCGTTTCTTCAGCTGCCAAACTTCACATCCGTATGTTAATATACTTTTGACTACAGCGTTGTATATCCTCCTCTTGTTATCTTTGGAAATCCGCTGATCCCAGAGGATTCCATTTAACATCGCTATAGCCTTCCTTGCAAAAAGGTCTCATTCACCTGAAAAATACCTTGAGTTTCGTATATCTAGGCATGACCGTTCCAAAGTCAGCAAGGTGGAGCTGGACTTTTTGAAGACCCTGTTTTGCAAATCCCAGTAAAAATTTTACCTGCCTCCATTCTCCATCGCATATCGTTAACGCGAGTCGCGATGCCGTTGTCACTGCAAAGGTTATCCATGGCGGCGGCGTTGGTCGATTTGTCGTCGCGTGAGGCATCATGGCGTCATGGGACTCGGCCAAACAGACGCAACGTTTCTTGAACTTTACCGTCGGTGAAATACCTTCGAAACTGATCCGGCTCTCGTGCTTGCCCCGCCCACTGAGGCAGAACCGCGTATCTCCAGATCCGCAGTTTTTGTGGCCACCCGTTAGCGTTGGGATGCCTGAAAACTGAGCCCAACGTTTATAACAGTGCGAGCCGCAGAGAGAATAGCTAACTTAAGGAAAGAACGTCGTAATAGCATTCCAATGTTGTTGATATGATGTCTAATTTTGGGAAAAATCATGAATATTTTCTCTGGAAATTTTATACTATGAATTGGATTTAACTGCAAATTAACTTGGGAGTAAATTTGAGCGCAAAATATTGGTACTTGACCAATTACATAAAAACACCCGAAACTTTGATTCCTGTCTCCCCTCCTCCCGATAACATCAGTCTGCAGCCCCCTTGAATATTGCGTGATACTCCCCTCTCTCTCTCTTTCTCATCTCCCTCTTCTGCTTCTGCTCTTTTTTCTTTTTTCTCTCTTTTTTTCCAACCATTTTTCTTCTTCTTCATCCCTTCTTTTCTTCTTCTACATCCCTTCTTTTCTTCTCTTCTCCTTTTATCTTCCTCTCTTAATTCTTCTATTTTTCCTCTTCTCTCTCTTCCTTCTCTTTTTTTCCCTTATCCCCCTCTCCTACCTCTACTTTTCTTCCTTTTTACCGTATTCTTTTTCTGTCTCTCTCCCGCTCTTTTTATTTTTATTTTTCTTCTTCTTCTCTTCATCTCCTTTTTTTCTCCTCTTCTTCTATCATCCACCTTTCATCGTCTCAGAGGGAGAAAGTCCTAAATTATTATTTAAGTGAGTTGCATTTTACACCCCCTCTCTCCTAGAACGCTACGCACTTTAAGAGAGGCCCATTTCCTGGAAAATTCACGTTTTATCGAATAAATTTGGCAACGTTTGAAAGTTCATACGGCGTTTTTCCTTAACATGGCCGTGCGCAGAGTAGGCACTCCTCATTGTTCGGTGGACAGGTTGAGTTACGGCGTACTCGCTCCATCCTCGGAGCCGCAGGGATGGCGCAAAAAATCAACCTCGCCTCGGTTACGGCATCTCCCAGGAATTCTACGGCACGTGTTGAGGATAAACGCGGGCTTAATCTGCATCTTGTCACGAGAATGTAAACGCAAGAAAATAATATTTAATGTTAGCAATATGTCAGTCGCGCACGTCGCAGAATCGGGTTTTGGTGGCTGACCCTTTCGCAGATTACGAAAAAAAATCAGCATCTGTCACTGACCCACACAATAATGGGTCCGTTGCGCACGAGAGATACGAGTACAACCAAAGTAAATTTTGAGATGGAATAAGTAATCAGAAATGTCTCAATTCTACTCCTCAACGCAAAACACCGACATTCGGCAGAGTGCAACAG